CACCTGGGAGAATTTCCTAGTGGCATTTGAAAAATAATATTTCTCTGATTCTGTCTGGGAGAGGAAAGAAGTTGAATTTATTGAGCAGCAATAAGGGAGGCTGACAATAGAACAATATGCAGCCAAGTTCGCAGATCTCTCTCGGTACGCGCCTCACATCATCAATACAGAGGCGGCAAGCAATTTTGAAAGGGGCCTCCAGCCAGATATCAGAGGAAGAGTAATATCAGCCAACCCTAAGTCGTTCTCCCCTTTGGTAGACCTCGCTATGAAGATTGAAAAAGATTGCGAGTAATTTCAGATGAGGACAGAAGGGAGAGTAAGGTCTGCATCGTCCAGGAATTTTTGCAGGAAGACTCGGCTGCCTCAGAGGAGAGATGTCAGGGGAAGGCCTAGTTAGGGGAACATGAAAGCTCAAAAGACCTTTTCGAGCGATGTGAGGGAGAATCGGCACCCGACCTGCTCATATTGTGGAGGGAGCAACCACTTTGCGACAGAGTACTATAAGAAATCAAAAACATGTCTTAGGTGTGGAAAGCCTGACCACTAGATCAAGTACTGCCCCATGGTAAAGCCGGAGAACCGACCAAAGACTCAAGGTCTGGTATTTGCACTTACGAAGCAGGAGGCCAAGGCGTCTACCTCGGTGATCAGAGGTACGCTTTTTATTTCTAGTAGGAAGCTAAAATCTTGATTAACCCTAGTTCCTCTCACTCTTTTGGCGCACCTCATTTTGCATGTCATCTAAATATTGAACCTTCATGTCTTGACTATACTTTAGTAGTGTGCACACCTGTGGGGGATTCTATGGAAACTGATAGGGTACACAATAGTGTGAAGTTTTACTTGAGAAGTGTGACTTGCCCATAGACCTAATACTTTTAGATATTCAGGATTTTGATGTTAATCTGGGCATGGATTGGTTATCCACCCACTGTGCTACTGTTAACTGTTATGATAAGACTGTGACCTTTAGATGCCCTAACTAGCTTGAACTGCACTTTGTGGGTATCAGAGACGCTCCCCCTCTACACTTTATTTCTGCCCTTCGGGCTTCCCGTCTTCTGGCGAAAAGATGTGTTGGATACTTAGCCTATATAGTAGAGAATCGGGATGTCCAGTCCAAATTAGAAGAGATACTTGTGGTAAGAGAGTACCCAGAAGTTTTTCCTGGGGAATTGACCTCTTTGCCTCTAGTCAGGGAGATAGAATTGACCTCTTTTTCCATAGGGGAACAGAGTGTGGGACCGTGATCCAGGGTAAGCGAATGCCACTCAGGTGGGAGTGCGCTCAACGCCTTAAAAAAACGGTAAACAAAGCAAACCACGTAAGAAAACAAAAGTTTTACATCACTCACACATAAACCAAAAGCAGGATAACCAAGTCCCAAAATTGTGAAATACATTGTACATAAGTTTTCAAAGTATTACAAAAAGTTCTTGGGCATCAAAGGCCTTGATCATTACATAACTTTAAATTTTAAACGAAATCTGTGGCTATCAGCCATCAGAAACATACAATGGAACCACTTTTCTGTAAGCAGCATGAGCTCCTACCACCAGCCGTGATCCCGAATCGTTCACCCTAGGCCTACGGCTATTGCTCTACAAGGATGGAAGTTAAAGGAATGAGCTACAATGCCCTGTAAGTAGATCCAGATGTCGTGTTACAATTATGTCTAGCAATGTGTCATGAATGATTCTTTTCAGGGATGAGTAATTACAACGCAGATATCATATGAATTAGCCATTTATCAAACCCTTCCATCACGAGCATCACAACTGTAACTCAATAAGCCTAATAAGTATAAGCAACATTAGCAAGCATTAACCAACTCACTCCCTAATTCGCCTACTCCAAAGTAGAAGCTCTATCCATCAAGCTAAGCGAATCCTGTTGCTTAGGACTTGACTCAGGAGGGAAGACAATGACAAGCGAGGGACCCACTTTGTAATGCCTTCACACAAACACAGTCCCAACGCACTTTGGGGCTTTTGATAGGCACAGGCCTTGCAAGACACGGCCCTCTCTAAGCATCTCCGCTAGAGGGCGTCACACCACTAAAGGGGTCCCAATGGATAGTGCCTCAAACAGAAGTTTGAGGGGGGCGACCCAACCCAACACACACAATCATTCTAACTCCCATCCTATCATAGGGAGTTAGGGAAAAATATCTCAACTGCCGGCGCAACGTTCTTATCAGAGCAGATTCTTATCAGAACAGATTCTTATCAGAGCAGAGTCTTAACAGAACACATTCTTATCAGAACAGATTGTTATTAGAGCAGATTCATATCAGAACATATTCTTATTAAAACAGGTTCTTATCAAAGAAAATTCTTATCAGAACATATTCTTATCAGAACAAAGCATACATTTAATATACACATACATGTCCAGAGCAAAATACAAGTCATCAGGCTCATTTATAACATTTTTTAAACATTTTGCGGGTTTGAGAAGAAGTGATCACAGCCTATCTTTTTTAGCATAGTTTTCAGACCACAGAGAATTTCCTTATGATTCTAGGACCAATTTTAAAATAGACTCACTCATCTTTCATTCAAAAGTGGTTTGAGTTCAATTGGACATGATTTGGTCAGTAAACAGTTCATTACAAAAACATGTAACAGTTCTGAAAATTCCCTGCAATCACAACAGTGACACCTTCATAGAAAAAGGAGCATAATTTCCAAACCATAGAGAATTTCGACATGGTTCCAAAACCATTTTTTAATAGACTCATTCATTTTTCATGCAAAAGTAGTTTGAGCTCATTTGAACATTATTTGGTCAACAAACAATTCATTTCAAGAACATATAACAGTTCTGGAAATTCCCTGCAATCACAACAGTGACACCTTCATGGAAAAAAGAGCATAATTTTCCAAACCATAGAAAATTTTGACATGGTTCCAAAACCATTTTTGAAGTAGCCTCACTCATCTTTCATGCAAAATTGGTTTTAGCTCATTCGGACATGATTTGGTCAGTAAACAGTTCGTTACAAAAACATATAACAGCTCTGGAAATTCCCTTCAATCATAACAGTGACACCTTCATGGAACAAGGAACATAATTTCCAAACCTTCGAGAATTTCAACATGGTTCCAAAACCATTTTTGAAGTAGACTCACTCGTTTTTCATGCAAAAATGGTTTGAGCTCATTTGGACATGATTTGGTCAATAACAGTTCATTACAAAAACATGTAAAGCTCTTGGAATTTTATGTCACAGATTTGGCATGTTCTAGCAAAAGTCTCATAACTTTCCAATCACAAAAGATATATATAAGAGGCCTTTTCCCTCTGAAAATAGACTCAAAGGGGTACTTCCCCACAAAATTTCATGGTTAATAGAAGTATTCTCAATGCTCAAACATTTGCTCAAAAGAGAGTCATAATTCTAGAAAAATAGAGTGCAAGCTTAACCCAATTTCAGAAGCATGGTTCTCCAAATACATTCATATCTCTACCTAATTTCATACTTTAACAATTAAATTGAACATGCATTCAAACAAAGATAAAACATGGATCTTGAATCCACTTATAGTACTATAGGAACTCCCAATGTCCTTCACAAGGCCAAGCTCCAAGGATGGTGGGTTTGAGGTCACAAGTTCGCAAGGCTAAGGAGCTGGGTGAGAGAGAGAGAGAGAGCAAAGGCTTATGGGAGGTAAGAAGAGGGGTTTTATAATCAGTAAAAGAAAGAGGTGGCAGGCTGCAAGAGCCAAGTGTCCTCAAAGAGACATGCAGATGGCACTTGGCACATTAGAAACATACAAACAATCATGAAATCTCTGTGCTTGGCAGCATGAACTCTCTGTTGCGTACGACGGCATGCTCATACTCATGGCGGCTAGTCCTTTGCACGCACAGTGGCATACACGCACGGCGGCTGATCCTTTGCACGCATGGTGGCATCCTTTCACGACAGCTGATCCTTTGCACACACGGTGGCATCCACTCACGGCGGCATCCTTACACTCACGGCGGCTGATCCTTTGCACGCACAGCGGCATCCTTACACTCACAGCGGCTGATCCTTTGCACGCACAGCGGTCATACATGTACGACGGCATCCTCATGCATGTGCAGCGGCTTCAAAGTGTCAGAAAAGTCTGGGTCCTTACAGTGACCCTGGCTAGGATCACAGATTTCCTCCATTTGAAGTGCATTGTGGTCTATGGACACGTCAAACGGTGTGAGACTGGCCTGCCATGTCAATAAAGATCCCAATTCTTTTATTCCTTCTTTCACACACATGCAAATGGACAAATAAACACTTATATTATTCGATCACATCCGCACCCACAGACTCACTATGCCTCATTTAGTAATGAAATCCAAGAAACATTTCCTAATCAAATGAGGGGTGCTCCATCATGATAAATTCATGCTTGGTATCACACTTTTGAAGGTTTACTTGAATACTTCTATTTCTTAATTCTAGAACAACTAAAACTAGATATACTAATATATAATGTCCTTTGATGTCATTTCACCTTGAATTCATCAGAAGATTCAGAACTTTTTACTACTAGATCCATCTATTTGGTTTCATTTCACCTTGAATTTGGTCAAATTTGGTTTGATGTTCATATTTCTCCATCTTCGTGTGTGTGTTTGTGAGAGAGAGAGAGAGAGAGAGAGAGATTCATTGATGATATGAATTGCATCACAAGACATGAATAATTTATTTGATTGGGGATATGATTCCTACCCATAATCGGATGGCAACCTGCCAATGGAATATTTGGTAGTATGAAATGTTGGGATTAGTCATTACTTGGAATAGGGACCCCAAAAGTATAGATAGCCATTGAATATGGAAAATGCAACTTTGTATGTTGTTTGTTTACCTTTGCTGGTTGCATTATAGATATTTGTTGTTTGTTTTGTTAAACAAGATGGTTTCTCAGGCAGTTAACCTTTTCTCAGAAAAAATCAAGATGGTTTCTCAATTACCTCTATTGTTAAATCAATGTAATTTTTTGCAGGTGGTAGAAAGCTGGGATATACGCTAGTAGTATTGGCTCATGTTTGGGACAATTCCATGCCGTATGAAAAGAACAGTATGTTAAGCCAAGAGTGGAGGTCTTGTTGTTCAACCATTGCGTGCATGTTGCTGAAGGAAGCTTGGTTGCTTGCTGTACAGGTACTATTCTTGCTTGCTGTACAGGTACTATTTTATATTGTTATTGGATATTTTTTATCCCCTTAAGCTGGAGGAATATCCAAATAACTAGTTAAAGCTCGATTTGTGAAATTGGGATATTATTTGGTGGTATGTGCCGTTATAAGTAATCGTGTAACCATTTCTCACCATTTCCTCCTATTTTTTTTGTCCTTCTATAGATCTGATTCAAGCACCTCATTTCTTATACATTCTCCTTTTTCTCCAATATATGCATAGTAAATTTCAATTTTTGAATACTTGTTACTCCCATGTTTTAACGAGTGAACAGTTTATATGGTTATATTACGTAGTCTTGACTCTTTTTTATTTCATGTATCCCCACCAAAATTACTGATCTTGAATTTTCTACGTCAGGAACATGCTTCACCCCCATCATGATGCATGGAGGACATGTCCATCTTCGATGCCATAAAAGAAGTTGTTCATTTGCATAGAGGGTGTGGAATAAAGGGAGTTGCCAGCCCCACCTGCACCTCCTAGTTCCAAGCATTCAATAATCGAAGGCATCGATACATTTATCAGCGAGGCCATGGAAGGATACCATGCTGCAACATGGAGAGCTTGGTCATGTGCACATGTTTTGCTCCATTTGCCGAGGCTCTCATTTGAAACTGAAGGATCTAAGCAGGCATTAGCAATTGCTTTTTGTAAAGCTCAAAGCAAGCCAGTGGCTTTGAGGAAGCCTCTTTTGCTGGTTATTGCATCTCGTTGTATATGTTGCCCTGATTATATAAAAAAGGTTTTGGAGAAAGATGAAGATGAAGGTCTCACTGTGTGGGTGCGTGGAGTGGTGTATATTTTTGCTCATTTGTTCCAGCCTGGTCTTTCATCTAGCTCCAAGATAAAGATGGCTGGTGAGTTTAACTGCTTTGCTTTAGTCTCAAATGGACAATGACGATTCCTGTGTGTATCTTTATACACACACACATCCTAATTCTGAATGGTGATTTTAGAAATATCTAGTAAAAAAAATTGAAAAACGTTTTGCCCTTATATTAATTAAAATACATGTCTTTTCCTTTTTATAAAACAAATGCAGGGCGCTTAATATAAAACTCTCTTCAAGATCTCAGTTTTCCAGATGTCTCCCATTAGGAGGATATCTATTGTCAAGAGACTTCAGCACCTAATGAGAACTTCCTTTGGTCGGCACAAAGAAAACATAAGTTTCATCTAGTAAAGTAGGACACCATTTGCAAATCCATTAGGTATGGATGATTGCACATTAGGTGCCTAAAGCAGATGAATAGGATCCTGTAGGGAAAATGGTGGTGGCACTTTGCAATGCAGGATGACCAACTTTGGAGGCTGGTTATTCAGTGTAGGTATGGCTGCGAGGGCTTAGGCTTTCTCTAGAGGTTCAACCAATGCAAGGGTCCAGGGGATTGAAAAAGTATCATCTCTGCATATTTGGCCCATTTCATATTCGGTTCATGGCAGAAACTAGAGATAATATTCAAATGTGGAGACATCAGTGATTGTGAAAAAGCAGTTTGGAAGCCCAATTCCCTATCATCTTCCCAGTGGCAGCTGACCAAGGTTGTCATGTCTCTAATGCAAACAAAGTTCTCTTTAGGCATGTTTTTTTATCCGAGGTTTAGAACAGAACTGTCCAATGATGAAGTCTGAGACCTGATAACCCTGCTATAACCCCTAAATCCAAATTTCCGTCCTCAGTCCTCACCATGGCAAGGACAAGATGGTGTAGGAGTCAGCTAAATCAGGGTTCTTTTTGGCAGAACATCTTTCTATGAGCAGCTTTGGCCAAGTGATCTTCCCCTGCCATTGCCAGCGATGTATGGCTCTCCACAGCCCGGCCCAAAACCTAGGTTCTCGGTTGGTTATTGATTAGAAAGAGGCTCTCATGGTGGACCACATCCAGCGTGGGGGAATACACTTCACTGACAGATACAAATGTATCATATACAAAACAAAACTTGTAGGATTTCTATTTGTGGCTGGAGACTGAACTAGTGTTTGAATATTTTTTAGCCCACTGAATCTCTTGAGGTGTCTTCCCAACATGCATGGCATGAAGCCAATGCTATCGGGGATAGCCTCACCAAGAGGGGGCATCCCCAACAAATCTTGTAACCTTGGTCTAGAGGGCAGTCCCTTTTTGTTTCTTTTTGGTACAATTTTGTCTCTGTTCTTTGTTAATTAACTGTATAAGAGTTCTGGTTTTACACTTGTTATAAGTAATCCAAAAGAGTAAATAAACAAACGAAAGAAGTCTTTGCTTTCCTTGTGGAACTTGCATAATATCAATAGTTGACTTTATCATTTGTCTGTTGTTCATGAAAATGGGAAAGGATTTTGAAATAATATTAATTTCTGGAAATATATCTTAGGTTTTGTAAAGAAATATTGATTTTACTTCTGGAAATGATCATGGAAAAAAAAGAAGCAGAGCAAAGCCCTCTAACATAGTTTGGAATATTTTATCAGTTAGCAAAATGACTTGAACTCCTTGAATATTTTGATGCCCTCATTTCTAGTAGACAAGCATTACAATAATTACTTTATGTATTTCCTTTATCGGTGGATGGAGGCCAGAATCTATGCAGTGGTTATCGATGTGGCCAATAATTTCCAAAATATGTACATTTTTTTTTCAAAACAGCTTTTCCTAGATATATTTGACACTCAAGTTATCCTTGATTCCGTTGTAAGTATCTATACTATCAAGACTCTTGTAGCTACTTTGTTAGTTGTTCAACTTCATATATCTCCTTTTGAAGAGTATTTCCGTTCGCTACATTTTGATATACCACAACATTTGTGTTGTTTTCTTGACTTTCGAATTATTTTTATTTGAAAATGATATTCTTCATGAGCAATGTATGCTAGAATCATGTCAAGTTCATATTTTGCCTCTTTCTTTTTTGCAACCTTAATCAAAGTCCTTTTATGGTGTATCTGCGGTGTCCTATTCAGGACCCTTTTTCGGCAATTTTCAGGGGAGTGCAAAGGCAAAAGGATAAAGAAATGAAGAATTATTTAGAGATGTGCAAGTTGGAGAGTACTACAGGCACTGGTCCAGTGAAAGCATCCGCTAGAATAGGAAGGATAAACAAAATCACCTAAGCAGCACTTGCTTTTCATGTGGTTTATGTCTTCTCTTTTTTTTGCCTTGTAATTGTAGGTGTGATATTTTATGTTGTTAAGCATTGTTAAATTAGGAGAGCTGCATATTTTATTTTTTTAATTCTATTTTTGTTAAAAATAATTGTGGATGTCATGGTGAAGACTCTCTCTCTCTCTCTCTCCCTCATTCATGAATTAGGCCTCTGGGCATTTGGCCATTTGCTATGGTACTCATTTTGAAAGTCTTTTATATTGTGAAATACACCTTTGCTAACTTGCAAAAAAAAATGTAATCTGTATATGGTATCTAAACTTTTCCATTTTCTCTTCATTGATGGACATTCGTGTCCTAAAAAATCTGATCTCATGTTGTAATGTGTAGACATGTGAACTGGATTGCTTGGGCAATGTAGCTGAAATGCATGATATAGTTTTTCAGTTGGATTTCCTGGCCTGAATGCTCCTATTCCACCTGGTGCTAGCTTTGGTGATCATCCTAGAGGTTGGGGCAAGCCTCCTGTTGATGAAGTAAGCTTCCTATGATTCTTGCATTCATGTTGTCATAGTGTTTATAATATTTTGTATGGATTCTTCTTCTGTGCGATTGCTTATTCTTTTGTGACCGCTTCTATGAAATTTTTATTCTGTAGTTCGGACGCCCACTATAGTGACGTTTTTGGTGTCCAACAACAAGAACAACCTAATTATGAGGTATGGAGCTGTGCATTTGAGAAAGCTTTCTATGTAACCCCATCCACATATATAATATATGTGACCCCTGATCTCAGCCGTCAGATCTAAGTAGATGCCTTGAGCCACAATGTCACAAGTTGGCTCTTAACCTTCAGATCTTGATCGGACGGCTCATAGTTATATATCATTTCAAAGAAAAATTTGGGGCATGCATAGATCTGATAGGGGTGCACATGATAAAAATAATAATAAAATATTTTCGGTGATGAAAAGTTACCATAATATTTCCGGTGACGGAATATTTGATTTTTATTTAGGTTCGCCCTAGTTTATGATGGGACGCTCAAAATTTCATCCAAAAATATTTTGTATAAAAAAATGAAAAATAAATCAGCTTTTGGCGTGACATTGTGGCATGAACAATCGTAGCCATCAATTTTGAATCAAACAGCTAAGAAGTGGGGTCACGTATAACTTCTATGTTGTTTGGGTCACAGAGAAAGCTTTCCCTATCCATTTTCACTTAGTTTATTGAATTAATAGAATAAGTCCTTTGTGTTATTATAGTAAACTTCATGCGCAGGCAATTAAATCTTCCTTTGTTGGAAAATGACTTTCCATGTTACTATGACTTTCTTAGTTTCCTTAATGATGGTGATATCATTGTTGTCTCATTATGCATTTTCCTTTGATTGCAAGAGGAACTTGTTGATAGGAGTAAGTATAGGGATGACTTGGAGGAAGGGGAGGAATAGATGGAAGAAGAGGAATTGGAGGTTGGTATTCAATTAGTTGCCAGACTCTCCAGGTCTCTCTCTCTCTCTCTCTCTCTGCCGTATTAATAAATTGAGTTTTTTAATTTTCCCGTAGTACGCCAACTGGTGTGAAGGCACCTGACGTCATTGATCTTCGAAAGCAATAAAGGAAAGAGCCAGGGAAGCCTCTAGACCAAATGAGTACATTGAAAGATTTTGGGCACAATCTTCTAGTGAGCTACATTATTAGTCACCTTTTGATTACCATTTTATTCTCATGGAGTCCAACACTCTATTTCTCTTGTTCCAAATAAGGTACTCGAAGAGAAGGAAGAAAGGATTGCACCAAGAACCTTACTTGGAACAACGCACATGTATGTCTACACCTAACTAGCAGCTTATCTGACCATCATTTTCATGAATTTTAGGACTTCTTTTGTGCATTTTCTTATTTCTCACTGTGTGAGTTTTTTTTTTTTTCCTTTTTGAGAGAGGGTTTAACGCAGGGAAACTCTTGATTAGCATTTAAGAACTTTTTTCTTTGGACAGGTATGTGCTTGGGGCAATGGATAATCCTGGTCCATTATGTTGCTGAGTGAGGCAGCACCTTATGATAAAGTCTGCAAGCACAATTTAAATATGAAATAAAGAATGAGGGGAATTACCGAAGCCAGTAATGCTGAAAAAGTTATCTTCACATGCATTCCCTAGTTAATTATTGGGTGACAAACTGAATTTGCTAACCTGTGGCAGGACCACATAGATGTTTCCCAATTGCCAAGTAAGAAACACCCCGTAAAAGTCTACACATTATTCAAGTCCAAATCATCAACTGCAATAGTTAAGTTAAACATTAGATGCGCAAGGGGGATGTAAACTGATAATATTCAATAAATACATGCATACATGTAATGCTAAATATTGTCTGCTTATCATGTTAAATGTGTTAGAAAACCAAATGAGCTCCCATTGAAAATAGCCTTCATTAGTTTAATAGTGATTATGTATGGAACTCAAGGCCCCTGCAAGGTCCCTGAGCACTGGGCCCTCTAGCATATGACAACACAATTGTTTAATGAACTTTCAACATGCACGAGCAATTTGAGGGTGGACCAATGCGACCCATGGAAAAAGCATTATGCCATTACTGACCTGGTTATAGTATAAAAACTCGACAATCCTCTTAACTTGATGGTGAAGCCTTTCAACAGATTGCTATGAAAGGTAAGGGACCATAGCTAATGGATTATGGATGATTGCAGTACTTCATGAACCCACATCTTAAAAGGGAGCCATGCCTTAGCAGTTGGAGCTCATTGCAAAAGAAATTCTTTCACCTTTGTATATGATATTCCATCATTTCACGGAGATAATCAGGTATGTTGTCTTTTGATGAGTTCTTTTGTGCTTTGAATGGATAAGTTGTATCATAGCATACTAGGTAAACTTTTCAAGATGAATGTTATAGTTTCTACTGTTCCAAGATGGGTTGAATCTGGAGGCTGAGAGAAACCATTATCTCTCTCATCAATGTGGCTGGATCTGAACTATTATGAGTTTGAATAGTGTATTATGTACAGTCATGGTAATATTATGGATGGGAGGTTTCCTAAATACTGCATGTATATGTTCTTATGCAAAATATTTTCATTATGATACGATATAGGTTATTAAAAATGGGGTACCATATCCAAAGAAGTTGTTACTTATGATCATAACCTGCATGGTTTGTTTTTCCATTGCTTCCCTTGGAATCCTACTTGACATTCCTCCAATTAGCGTCTATAAAATCATGACATCATGCAATTTCTCGTCGTATATATGTGTTATGTGTATATGACTTCTATTCGATAACTTGAAATATATTTATATCATTATACATAGATTATACACATGATCATGCTGATGTTAACTCTTTGCCACTAGAAACTCAATGAGTTTGAATTTTTTTTTTAGGACATTACCATTGGTTGGTTATCCATGTAAAAACACAAATGCCACAAAAAAGCATTTGCATGCCAAAAGCCAAAATCATATTTGAAGTATAGAAAATTGAATTTCTTGTCCACCATATTGAAGCTTTATAACTATTCAATAGCAAAACAATAGGAAGAGGTCATAGACAATCTTCATATACAACTTGCTATCAAGTGTATAGTTGGTTTTTTTTTTTTTTTTTGAGGGAAGTTAACTATAACAAGTTTATAGTTGTTAGCTAACAATTTAACCACTTGTTCGAAAATTCCAACCAAGTTCATAGAAGAGTAGTAGAAGACCACTGTTCTGGTTTCTTTGTTTTACCTACTGCAACAAGTATAAATGATACCAAGATGGATGATTGCTTATCAAGTGAAAATGACAAAAACTTGATAGTATGAAGGAACTCAACTTCCCAAAATAAATGTTTCAAAAACCAGCATGATTCTCCTTTATGTCACCTCTTGGCACTACCAAGCATTTCCACACTTACCTATATATCTCCAATATCTCCTCCAAGCTTGCCAAGCATTTTGCACGTGCACCCCATGATTTTTCATGCATTTCTCAGGGTACAACATTTAAAGTATTCATCAGAGTTTACCACAGAATTTTCAGCGCACATCTAAATGCTTTCATTTTCATAGAAGATTCCCTATTATGGCATCATATTCTATGTACCTATTCCGATCATGGGAACCAAGTTTTACTAACTTTTTTTCTCTTTTTCAAGACTACACATGAAATTGCATTTCCAATAGAAATTTATCAACCGAAAGACGATACCTTTTTTCATGGTACTAAAAAGCAATTTTCAACAAATTGTTAGTTATCAATCTGACATGATAATGAGGCAGTGTTGAGCCAAAAAAAAAGCATCCAGAAGGTAGACACACAATACCCAAAGCTTTCAATTTGAGTCACAAGGGCCTACTGAATTT